ATGCCTATACACCATAGTTTTGAAAAATCACGTTTTTGCACCCCCTGGAATATCATCTCGCACCCCCAGGGGTGTGAGCACCCCTGGGTAGGAACCCCTGAGCTAGAGATTCAAAGCCACATCTCTGATAAGCTACTTCTAATGCAGATATTAGGGGAGTCCTTTATCATGATGAAAAGCAACTACTTCAGACCCTGGGATTCAAACCCTGCCTATATAGCTTCCCCAAATTAAAATTTTACATTTCTTTTTCCTGCCTTCCTATCATGACAGATTGTCAGTGGGAGAAGTAGTTGTCACCTGGGCATTTTTACTGTGAGGGACTGGTTTGTTCTCTGGTGCTTTGCTTCTAATTTTACCAGCACTTGCCCAATAATGGGAAAGGCAATCAGAATTGCAGCTTCAACTAGCTTTCTTCTGAGAAGTATATGTAGGATTCTAATTTAACTCATTTTTTAAAATTAAGCACGTTCTCTCTGTCCTTTCCTCACAATGCAGAGAAAGAATGTTCTACAGCAGGAACTGTTATAGAAATAATTAATATTGTCCTACCCATGATTCTTATTAGTGATAACATACAGTAGCAAAATCCAGCCTGATCTTAGAAGTTAAAAGCTGTTTGATTACTTTTACCCTTTTTATTTCCATCTTCCCCAAATCAAAATTGATTTTTCTCAGTTGCTTTCTTGTTTTTATAACTGTGTTTTCTGTAGCCACAGTGAGGCTTTAGTAGCATAGTAGGTACAAATTTAGAAATAAACATTTGGTAGAAGCCCTTAGTACATCTTCTACCCAAATAGCACTACCCCAATGACTAATTCAGTGAAGCTGCAGTGTTTATTATTCCCAGGTCATTTACTGAGATATGTGTTTGCTAAAAAAATTGATATCCTACGAATGTATTTATTTAATTGGCTTGTTTATTAGATTTTTACCCTACCTTTATTGTTTTATATTGTAAGTAAGTCAAGGCAGCAAACATACTTAACACTTCTTTGTTCTCCTATTGTCCCCACAATAACGACCCTGTGAAGTGGATTGGGCTGGGAAAGAGTGGCCCCAAATCACCCAGCAGACTTTCATGTCTCTGAAAATCACAGCCTCCTGGTTTCTAGGCCAGCACCTTAACTGCCACACCAAACTGGTGTACTACAACTACACTACCCTTTTTTCCTTTTAACTAGGTCAGTTCAAACGATGAGTTTGACTGCATTTACATTTCTTTAGTCACTTGTGGGAAACTTGGCATGTTGTGATGTAATATATTTTTCACCTTGGGTTCTGAGTAGCGGCTGCTTTAAGGTCAAATATTACTGAACCTTGTTTAATCAATAAACAGAATGCTCCAGTCCCCAAATATTGAACTTCTCCAAACATTGAGCTTTGCTTTATTCTGAAGTTTCCCTCTCCCTGGTGTCCTGCCCTCCCCATTCCAGGAACCGTAAGTGCTAAAGCCACTTCTAGCGTTGGTCAATAATATCTTTCTCTATGGCCAGAGTTCTATGTTTACCCAAAGCAAAGGTCATTATCTAATGTTAAATACTTTTGTTTCTAGGTCCAGTGTATCTCAATGCTTCAAGGAAAGAAAATTCTTGATGATCAAATGCTATTCAGAGGACTGTTGAGTGACTATTAACTATTTGTTAAATACAGGCAGTTTTAAAAATAGAACATCAATAATCAAATCCAAATTAAAGTATCCCTGACAGGTATTCTTAAGTCCCTTCCCATAAATGCTGCCATCTTACAGGACCCAGGAAGGATGCCTTTTCTGTGGTAGTCCCTGCCCTATGGAACATCTTTCTCCTTGGATTCATCTGGAAAAATAATGCTTGTATACTAACAAATGCAAAAATAAAATAAAATAGGATCATGAATATTGATTGATATAGTTTTAATTACGACCAGAATTCCACTTCCAAAATTAAGACCAGAATTCCACTCCCAACTGAATATTTCACTTGGCTACAAAAAATGTTTATGCTTGTATATCGCTTTAACAGAAAGTATTCATCTGCAGTCATCCCAGTAACCTTTATATTGCCACGTAAGGTGAGATATATTATATTGAGAATTTGCAGCAGGCCTTAAGCAAGCCATTTACAGTACAGGTGAAATTTAAACTGAATATTTCTGACATAGAGCGTACTCAGTTTTACTAAACTGTCAAAGGTCTCCTGCTTTTTAAAAACAACCATCTTCTCAAAATTCCTCTGAATAAAGAGAAAAGAAAAGAAAGAAAAAGAAAGGCCTGCTTTTCAATTTATGGATCAAAATAGCTGTGTTCATGCATTTCCTTATTTGTTTATATTTGGACATATTATTTTGATATTGATGAAGTGATTTATACTTCAATACAGTTTATAACAAATGCCTGGATTACTTCAGTCCAGCAAAAATTGCTGTTAAATGTTATCTATTAGGTGAAAGTGATGTTCCACAAGATTGGAGCCTTTCACTATTCAAAAATACTAGACTGAAGTGCTAACGCAGGAAGAAAAAGAGGTGTTGATTTCCATTGTACCTTTAAAGCCTATCTGGATTGGCAGTACTACCAATTAAGGCTCAGGCAGAAATCCATATTCTCACTTATCTATGCTAAAGGTAATGCCTTATACCAGCGTGGTGTAGTGGTTAAGATGTTGGCCTAGAAACCAGCAGACTGTCAATTCTAGTTTCTCTTTAGACACGAAAGCTAGCTGGGTGATATTGGGCCAATCACCAGGAAATTGTGAGTTCTAATCCTACCTTAGGCATAAAAGCTGATTGGGTGATTTTGGGCCAGTCGCTCTCTCTCTCAGCCAAACCCACCTAACAAGAGTTGTTGTTAAGAAAAAGAAGAAGAGGAAGGAGTATTATGTATATTCACTGCCTTGAGTTACTTATAAAGTAATAAAGGCAGGATAATCTAATAATAAATCTTTTTACGTGTTTACTACTCATTGTTCATTTGCCCAAATATGCATCTCCTGTTTTAATGATGCAAAAAAGAATAAACTGAATATTCACAAACTGCTTCTTAAAAGGAACACATAAAACTGTATTGATTGCGATTCGGGCATCAGTCAAAAACTGCCTTCTGTTGAGATGAAGCACTGATTAATACACGTACTCCACTGTGACTTAGCTGTTAGTGTCTAATACTTTAAGGGAATCTTTCCAGTCCTGCTTGAAAAATCCAAAAATGCTTTTCTAATACAGGAAGATACAGTATGTTGCTGAACTCTTTTACTGCAGGCTATTTGCTCTGTACTTATATTTGTTAAATTTGAGGCTTCCCATTTAGCTTTATTTATTTAAAAGATTTATCTGACTGTCTAATATTGAGCAACTCTGGGCAGTTTACAACAATCATCTAACCAAAATAAAACATCTAAATAAAACAAGAATAAAACAAGAAAACAAAAACCCTGTGCCATAATTGTGGTTCACATGGAACTATTGATTTGAGAGCATTGCAGCACATTCACCTGACATTTTCACTCATCCAGCACACGGACTGCCAAATTTCCATGTATTCCACCCTGTGCAGCCCATCTTTTGTTCTTCCCAATCAATTGTAGCATAGCCGAAATTGCAAAATGGATGCTCTACACAGGCTTGGTGACAGACTGTTTCCCAATTGATAAACACTCTTGCTTCAGTTTGCCTTCCATTGCTTGAACTTGTAGATTTCACAGAGTCTTATTTATTTAACAATTCATATGGCCCAAATCTTAAGTAACTCTGGGATGCGCAGAATCTTGTCATTAAATCCCATGTTAATCCTTCTAGTCAGTTTCTATACCTATGCATATTTGTTTTTTTAAACTTGTCCAACATGGTTTTTCCAGCAAGCGGGCCTGACCTAGGGAGGATTTTAGGTAGGGATAATTTTAAAAGTATTTTAATCGGAAACACAGCTGGTAATATTTGGTTTTAATTCGGCTTTTATCGAGGTTTATTTTTTGTATTTCTGTATTTTTGTATTTTGTATTTTTTGTATTTTGTGTATATTATTTGTTTTTAATATGCTGTGAACCGCCCTGAGTCCTATGGGAGAAGGGCGGTATACAAATTAAATTATCTATCTATCTATCTATGAGGGTTGCTATGTATATAAGCAGTGAACTGAAATCTTGCCTCAGCCCACTCACTGAACTGTATTTTTATACTATCCTGTGGGTCAGGTGGAGAGAACGCTGATTGGCTCCTAGCATTCTCAATGTATTCTCAGCCTTCTCAGGTAGCTGGAAGTAAAGACAATTATATGACTGATTTAAAAGGCTTTGGAGGAATTTGGGGATATCAAAGTTTTTGCAACTGTTTTCTTGGTGTGAAAAGGGATACCACCTAAGCAATTTTTCAGTGACAATTATTCTGGGGAAAAATTATTATCTTGTTCCTGACCTCAGAAATGACAAAGGTACACTTACTTCTAGCAATGTAGGAAAAATAAATAAATTATATAAACTAACTTCTGGAGCAGTTGCAATACAGGTAGTCCTTGTTTACCAACTTGTTTAATGACCATTGAAGTTGGAACAGTAGGAAAAAAATTTGCGACTGATCCGTCACATTTATGACTGTCAGTGTCCCTGTCGCATGGTTGCCATTTGGGCATTTCACAACTAGCACATTTACAACCGGCGCAGTGTCCCAGTGTCACACGACCACCATTGTTGTTCTTCCCAACTGGCTTGTGATAAGCAGAGCTAATGAATACAGAAGTAAAATCATAACTTGTCATCATGTGATGCTTCTCTTAATGACTGCGCTGACCTACCTAACCACCAAATGGAAAGTAATATTGTAAGTCCATTGCAACCTTTGCACTTATTAGAAAATGATTTTCTCCCCAGTAACCACAACACTTAGCAATGAAGTTGCCCGTCTCAATTCTAGTCACTATGTGAGGATTACCTGTGTAAGATGTTGAAAATGGAAACAAAGTGTTCAACATTCAAAATAGAAAAAATTCTTGCTTTATTTAAAACAGCAGTTAACATAAAAATAAAGCATTGTTAAAATCTGGAGAACAATGGCATAATAGTCTGAGCCTGGGTTTTTTTCTGTTGACTACACAGAACTAAAGGATACCCTTTAATGCCCAGGGACTAGGATCCTTCCCCAAACTGGGTTTTGATTTAGCTTCCAGAATACAATGCTGCCTGGGAGTGAAATATGAATTATATGGCAGATATCAGTCTGGCAGGAATCTGAACCCAGGTAACTAAAACCTATTCTTTATGGATTTTTCTAGAATGGAAGTTGAATGACACAAACCATTGGAGGATTTAACTTGAATGGCAAGGGAATAATGAGCTGGCTCCATTATAAAGTTCAGTTGACAATGAGGCACAAAAATTAACAATCCTTGTTATATGGTGGGTACGGAGGGAATGGAGAAAACAACCTGGAATCACAACTTGGTGTCAAGGTAGCATACAGTTTCTCTCCTTGCTCATATTTCCTTCTCTCCTTGCTCCATCCTGCCCTCTTCTGCTTTAATGCCCTATAAAGCACTACTTGCATGCGCTACCCAAAGGAGCAATTTAGAGAATATCTGGCTTCAGGTCACAAATGTACATCAGTTGGAACCCATCCAATGGTTACAATGGTAACACCTTGAGACATATAAAGGCAAATATAGCTAACACAATATAGCTAAGCTATACAGCCATCAAGGATGTACTTGCACAGCAACAGAATATTTCACAGTTTCATAACGCGTCAGCTTGCTTCAGAGTATGCTGAACCTCCACTCCTAAATCAAGGTATTCTGCGTATCTTCATTGCCATGTTTCCACAAACTTCCTTTTCTTGAATGTTCAAAACAGACGCACATTTCCTTAGGGGAACAGTCTTTATCCATCTGTTGGAAATGTTTTAATACTACAGGCTAATGTTGACAAGTAAAATATTTGTTTACTTCTGCTTATATGCAAATGTTGACAGTTTTGCAAAGGTAGACTGATTAAATGATTTGGATTTTTTAGCAGAGCCCACATCCTCTTCTGAGTTTTGTTCTTGGCTTTCTTGCTTTTTATTGTTAACATCCTCTGGGCGCTTTCGCTTTTTACCTTCAGATGGATCACTGGTTTCTCTTCCTTTGGCTTTCTCAGTCCACACCTTACATTAATGGAAACAAAAACAAAACAATAAGACTTCTACAATCGCTACTAAATTATTATCAATTAATGTGACCTTCCCATAAATATTAAGCTCCTATACACACACACACACACACACACACACACACAGAGAGAGAGAGAGAGAGTAGTAAAGTTGGAAGGGACCTTGGAGGTCATCTAGTCCAACCCCCTGCTCAGGCAGGAAACCCTACACCATTTCGGACAAATGGCTGTCCAGTCTCTTCTTAAAAACTTCCAGTGTTGGAGCATTCACCGCTTCTGGAGGCAGGTTGTTCCACTGGTTAATTGTTCTAACTGTCAGGACGTTTCTTCTTAGTTCTAGGTTGCTTCTCTCCTTGATTAGTTTCCACCTGTTGCTTCTTGTCCTGCCTTCAGATGCTTTGGAGAATAGCTTGACTCCCTCTTCTTTGTGGCAGCCCTTGAGATATTGGAACACTGCTATCATGTCCCCCCTCGTCCTTCTCTTTGTTAAACTAGACATACCCAATTCCTGCAACCGTTCCTTATATGCTTTAGCCTCCAGTCCCCTAATCATCTTTGTTGCTCTTCTCTGTACTCTTTCTATATGTATAGTGGAGACTATAATTTTGAAGCCCCTTCACTGCCTTGTCGTGGCGAAGAGGCTTGCGCAGCTCAAAGAAGCTGTGAGCTAAGCCGTGCAGGGCCACCCAAGATGGACAAGTCATAGTGGAGATGTCTGACAAAATGTGGTCCACTGGAGAGGGAAATGGCAACCTATTCCAGTATCCTTGACAAGAAAGCCCCATGAACAGTATCAAAAGGCTAGTGGAAGATAGGACAGACTGGCGTGCTATGATCCATAGGATCACAAAGAGTCAGACATGACTTAGTGACTGAACAACAAATAATAATTTTGAAGACATTAGCAATGGAACCATACCGGAATTGGTCAATTTTGAATCTTTAGAAGGGTAACAAAGTTATTCTTAATTTCCCAGAAATCAGGTAGAGAAAGAATAAGACCCATGTGGCTGAATGATCTGGCACTAAAGTAATGGCATGAAATGGCCCTGCACATTTTCACTGCATCCTGTTCCAGGTACTTCAGCTGAGTGTGGTTTCAAAGTTGGTACCGAAGTAGTACTAGAGATAATCATGTTCAATCTTCATTCAGCCATAAATCTCAATGAATTTTTTGGGGGGCCAATCACTCTCTTTGCTGAATTACTCCATAGGATCATTGCAGGGTTGCAATGGGAGAGGAGGAAAGAACTTCTTGGAGAAGAGGCAAGAGATACAAAATGGATTATTAGTCAAGCATGCATCCAGGGGAGGAACTCCTCACATATCTCTGCAAAAAAAAAAAAAAAGACTACACTCTATTTCCTGCTTTTTATTTGTAAAATTCACTTTGTAAAAGTGAAAAAAAGGAATTCATGCAGTCCTCAACTTACAACCACACTTGGGACCAGGATTTCTGTTTCTAAGCAAGGCAATTAATAAGTCATGCCTGATTTTTATGACCCTTTTTGCCACAACTGTTAAGCAAATCATTGCAGTGGTCAAGTGAAGCACGCAATCGTTCAATGAATCTGACTTCCTCGTTGGCCTTGCTTGTAGGAGGCTGGCTGGGAAAGACACAAAGAGCAACCATGCGGCCCAGGGCTGCTGCAGCTGTCGTAAATACATGCTAGTTGCCAAGCAGCCGAATTCTGAACAGGTATTGAGGCCTTTGAACTATGGTGCTGGAGAAGACTCCTGCGAGTCCCCTAGACTGCAAGGCGTTCAAACCGGTCAGTCTTAGAAGAGATCAACCCCGACTGCTCTTTAGAAGGCCAGATCCTGAAGTTGAAACTCAAATACTTTGGCCACCTAATGAGAAGGAAGGACTCACTGGAGAAGAACCTAATGCTAGGAAAGACTGAGGGCAATAGAAGAAGGGGAGGGCAGAGAATGAGGTGGCTGGATGGAGTCACTGAAGCAGTAGGCGTGAGCTTAAATGGACTCCAGAAGATGGTAGAGGACAGGAAGGCCCGGAGGAACGTTGTCCATGGGGTCGCGATGGGTCAGACACGACTTCGCAACTAACAACAACAAAATCTGTGGGGACGCTGCAACAGTTGTTAAGTGTAAGGTGCAGTTATAGGTCACTTCTTCCAGTGGCATTGTGACTTTGAACAGTTGTTAAACAAATGGTTGTAAGTTGAGGACCACTTATGCATTTCTAAATGGTAAACAAAGGCATAATCCTCCAGAAGAAGATTCCATTACCATCCTTTCCTCAGCAGAGAGAATTCTGTATCGAACCATGCCTTCTTTTATTATTTCTGTTTCTTCAAAATGGGGATTATCTGATAAAATACTGCTTCTGTTCTCTTCTAGCCATATCTGGAATCCAGTCTTTGGCCTAAAAAAAAAGAAAAGATTTTGAAATAAAATCTTTATACTACCTGAGAACATTTTTATTCCCAGAAGTCAGTCGCCTCACAATAGCGGTGTAAGACTTTTGGGCACACTGACCTTTTATTGTCTTTGTTGTCAGTCACACTTTGAAGTTCAGGGGCTACCGTGTCATTTTTGTCCTCTCTCTCTTCTCTGACTTTCTTTTCAGTAGTAAGTGCTCGGGGTTGGAAAAAGGCAGTTGCTGCAGACTGAGCAATAAAATATGTATTTCAGTAATTCATCGTAAATGGTTTCTCTATACATTGCATTTCATACTCTTAAGTTTCTCAGAGCAAGAACCTCTAATTTTGGTAAGCATCTTCTAAGGGAAAATATTTCTGCAGTAATTATTTACTCAATAGTTTTGGAAGCAGTAATATTAATTACAAGGGAAGAAGATAATGAGATAAAGAAATACATAAGGATTTAGGCAGTGCAGCAAACTATGATTTAAATGGAAAGTAAGCATGTTAACTGTATTCCAATTTAATTTAAAATAAAACAGATGTAACTTTTGCTCTGGGTCCACCTATTTTCTTGATTGCCGACTATTTAGAGTGCAGCCTCTGACTAGAAAAAAAATACATAAAGTTTATTTCTCAATAGCTTCCAGATGAGAAGCGTATTGTTTGTTTAAATCCCACCTTTATTATTTTTATATATAACTCAAGGTGGCAAACATATCCAACACACCTTCCTCTTCCTATTGTTTCCCACAACAACAACCCTGTGAGGTGCATATAATAAAGTTGGAAGGGACCTTGGAGGTCATCTAGTCCAACCCACTGCTCAGGCAGGAAACCCTATACCATTTCAGACAAATGGCTGTCCAGTCTCTTCTTAAAAACTTCCAGCATTGGGAGCATTCACAGCTTCTGGAGGCAGGTTGTTCCACTGATTAATTGTTCTAACTGTCAGGAAATTTCTCCTTAGTTCTAGGTTGCTTCTCTCTTTGGTTAGTTTCCATCCGATGCTTCTTGTACTGTCTTCAGGTGCTTTGGAGAATAGCTTGACTCCCTCTTCTTTGTGGCAGCCCCTGAGATATTGGAATACTGCTATATCATGTCCCCCCTCGTCCTTCTCTTCGTTAAACTAGACATACCCAATTCCAGCAACCATTCCTTATATGCTTTAGCCTCCAGTCCCCTAATCATCTTTGTTGCTCTTCTCTGTACTCTTTCTAGAGTCTCAACATCTTTTTTACATCGTGGTGACCAAACCTGGATGCAGTATTCCAAGTGTGGCCTTACCAAGGCATTGTAAAGTGGTATTAATACTTCACGTGATCTTGATTCTATCCCTCTGTTAATGCAGCCTAGCACTGTGTTGGCTTTTTTGGTAGCTGCAGCACACTGCTGGCTCATATTTAAGTGATTGTCCACTAGGACTCCGAGATCCCTCTCACAGTTGCTACTGTTGAGCGAAGTACCATATTATACCTGTGCATTTGTTTTTTCTTGCCTAAATGTAGAACCTTACTTTTTTCACCACTGAATTTCATTTTGTTAGATAGCGCCCAATGTTCAAGTCTGTCAAGATCCTCCTGTATCTAAGCCTATCTTCTGGAGCATTGGCTATTCCTGCCAGCTTGTATATATACTAACATATATACATATGTATGTATGTGTGAGTATGTATATTAAGAGTACTTGTATATACTTAGAGTAATCCAAATATGTAATATATAGTACATCGCTAATATTCTTTTATGTGATCTAAACAAAGTTAAAATTATTAAACATCATGTCTGGGCCACTTCCAAGTGTAAATATACAAATTGTCTATTTCATCCTCTTGCCTACCTTTCTTATTCAGCCACTGCAGGACAGGGAAAGAAGGAACACCCCCCCCCCAATCTGGACCATCTTGTAAACATTTCCTAAGTGGCCATCAAGTGGAAATTTCCTTTTACTACTTAATTAATATTACTACCAGCTATTTTCCAACTTGATAGGAAAAAAAGAGAAGTCCATTTGATACCAATATCCTGCCCCACCCTTTCCTATCTTTTTTCCTGCCAATCAGTCTTTGGATAGTCCTTCTGCTTCCATTACATTCCTAAGACTTACTACACCCGAGAACAATAAATTTGCCAAGCTCTGTTTCCATAAAACATGATAAAGGTCTAATACATCACCTGCTTTGACTTGGGCTTGGGCATCAACGGTTTGATAATTGGACTCTTCTTGTTTGGAGCTCCTTGACCATTCATCGTGGGATTTTTCTTAGGCAGCCTGATCAGGTTATCCAGAATATTGGGTGAGTGAATAAATGCATCTTTTTGGCTACTGGATACCTACAGGAGCAAGAGATTTAAGAACTCATTTCCCCCCTACAGCACCTCAAAAATATCTTACTTAAAAGTAAGGTAAATTAAAATCATCAGTTCTCACCTTAAAAGGATTTGCTCTTATTGAGTTGCTAGATGCAAGGACAGCTTTTATTAACCAAAAAAAAAGGGGGGGGGTGCAAGGAAAGAAGAATATCAGTGCAAATCTTTACAACACTCTGCATGTGTATTAAGAAATTATACTGAACAATTTTTTATTTACAAGAACAATTAAGCAGGGCTGTTCATATACCCCCGCCTCTAATCTACTCTCAACAGAAACTTGTCTCTGGATGTTAATTTAGCATTCTGACAATTTCAGCTTAAGAAAGGATATTTCCAGATAAAATCTAGCATCTATTCTTCTGTTTGCCTTCACAACTGCTGCTTCTCCAGCAGACTGTGGTGCTCAAGTCCTTCCCAGGGTTCCCATCTAATCAAAGTGCCTCTTTTTTGAATGGCAGCGAGTTGGAGTCCATGGATGTTCCCAACTGAGTTGATATCATATCTGCATATTGATGATGTTTTGAGTTAGGCCCAGGCATTAACATGTATGCTTTATGATTGTTTATTTTATTCCCATTTTTTAAATTGTGTTATAAGTCTTGATACATTATTTCAATACAATGATATTTAAATGATTACAATTTTTTTTACATTCTATTAATTAGATAACTTGAAAACTGGAAATTAAAGTGAAAAAGTAGATATTATATAAATATAAGGTAAAATTTAAGATATCGATGTTATGAGCATTATAATTATTTGGCTTTTTCATTGAAATGTAATATTGGAAAAGAAAAAATAAAAATGAACACACCGTGACTTGCATTAAGGTATTTGTTATACAGTATAGGTAATGCTCGATTTATAATCATTTATTCGAAGTTATGGCAGTGAAGAAAATGACTTATGACCGTTTTTCACATCTACAACTATTGCACCATCCCCGTGGTCACATGACAAAAATTTGAGTGCTTTGCAACCGGCATGTATCTGACAGTTGCCCTGTCCCAGTGTCATGTGATCACCACTTGCAACCACTTCCCAGCTGGCTTCTAACAAGCAAAGTCAGTGGGGAAAGCCAGATTCACTTAACGACCACAACTGTAGTGATTTACTTAACAACCGTGGCATAAGGTGCAATTCACTTAACTGCCTTGCTTAGCAATGGAAATGTTGGGTCAATTGTGGTCGTAAGTCGAGGACTACCTATAAAAGTTTTGGTCTTAAATTACTTAATATCAAAGTCTCTGTTGTGTGTGTGTGTGTGTGTGTGTGTGTGTGTGTGTGTGAGAGAGAGAGAGAGAGAGAGAGAGAGAGAGAGAGAATATATGATATCCACAACACACAATAAAAGGGGGGGGAAATTAACCAAAAGCTTTTTTAAAAAAGCACTATTAAGTTTCTGACTTTTTTCTTTTTATGCATATGCTGATTTGCAATATTTGTACAATTTACTTTACTTTTTGTATCACTAAATACTATGGTCTCTCAGCAATTTACATAACCCTATTACAATGTTGCAAAAAGCTTGGTTCTAATGGGCTCAAGATTATGCTAAAAGCCACCAAACTAGTATTCTTTTGCATGAGTCCCTGAAGAGTGCAGCCCTTGATTTGTGAAACTGAACTGATGCCTCATAGTCCAGTGGTAAAGTATACAGCAGCAACATTGGAAGTAATAGAGCTTTCTATTAATCAGGCAGCAAGATTTCAATGGAGGAACTATTGAAGAAAAATTTGAATGATGTATAAAGGTTTCCAATTTATTTCCATCAGCTTAAAAGTTGTTCATGAGAAGAAAAGCATTTAACAAATTGTGTGGGAGTACGGTTGCCTAGCTGAAATCTAATATTTGGACAAAATGTTTAACAATTAAGTGGTTTTCTTTGCCTAAAATAAATTCGGTTTGACTCACCAGACTTCGAAATAGATGCATGTCCATGCAGCGTGGGAGAGCCTTCAGAAGAATTGAAGTGGAGGAAACATTAATATTCCAGTGGAAATACTTAAAACATTTCTCAGTTTAATTGAGTATGACTATGATATGTGATAAATATTGATACAGAAAGGATGTACAATAGGGTTACACATGAACTAAGCACTTTTGAACTTCTCACACCCACTCTTACCTCCCCCCCCCACTGTTCCTAGCATTTTTCCCCCTGCAGGTGCAGGGTCTGCTTTTTGGATCAACCAGGGCCATCTTGTGTGATCAAACACAGTATCCAGATCTAACTGGGCATTTTTCATGTCTGCATTTATTGCTTCAGCCTTCCATGCAGGCGCTTACCCTCTCCCCATAACTAGTCATAAATTTTTTCACTGTCCCAATGTCATCATTGTACCACTAGAGGATCTCCTACGGGGACCTCCTTGAGGTTGGAAGCCTGAGGAGCTCCTCACAAATTGCCCAACTCTGTTCCATGGAGTGATCCTTTTCTGAAAAGACTACCCAGCCTTCAGAGGAGTCTGAATTTATAACCACGTAGCCATGGATGCTTGCTCAGCTTACTAGATTTTGCCTCATTAGCGGTGTTCACTTTCGACTCATCCTCTTCACAGGTCTCCATATTTTGCTGGCGTTGAATGTTTCTCTCTCGGGCACGACTCCACTCTGTGGGGCTATTACTATACCTGCATAGAGAAACCAAGTCATCCAATGGATTCTATTCCTTTGCTTAAATATTAAGAAAAGGGCAACTGCCATGCATCCCCTACAAGAAAAGCCAGGTTTAACAAGAATGATAAAATAACTCCTTTCGTTTCCATTATACAGGCTATCCTGGTCCTCATGGAATCAGTTACTGAGTTCTGATAAAAACAATAAATTCCCTTAAAATAATAGTACTTTGTCACTTTTCTGAAAACAGAAAATGTGATCATCTGTACTACTGCCCAGAAGATTCACTTCATTACAGGCTACCGTGCTTTTTTTCCCCTTCAGTGGCAATAGCCACCACTGGGTTTGTCCAAAGCCTTTCTCCTTTGTTAACTGCATCCGTCCCTTTCTTCCATTCTGCTTAGAGAGTTTCCTCTTTCCATTTACCTGGAGCCCTTTAAAAGGGCTGGATTGCTGATTTTCCCCATCCTATCACCAGCTCAGTTGCGCTACTAGGGCATTTTCTTGGGTTGAAAGTATGCTACTGAATCCAGGCCTTGGGTTTCTGATATTATACAGGTGGTTCTCGACTTACGACAATTGGGATGAGATTTTCTGTTGCTAAGCCAGGTGGATGCTGAGAGAGTTGCACCCAATTTTATCACCTTTCTTGCCACAGTTGTTAAGAAAATCGCTGCAATTGCTAAGTGAATCAGGCAGCTCTTAAGCAAATCTGGCTTCCCTCATTGATTTTGCTTCTTAGAAGCTCGCTGGGAAGGTTTCAAATGGCGATCGTGTAACCCTGGGATGCAGCCAACGTCGTAAATACAGGCCCGTTGCCAAGCGCCCTAATTTTGATCACATGACCATGGGGATGTTAAGTAAGCGCAAGGACCAGTTGTAACTCAGCACTATTGTAACTACAAACAGTCGCTAAATGAGTGGTTGTAAGTCGAAGACCACCTGTAATTGAGAGCCTTTATACACTGTCAATCTGACTCAGTCCTGCAGCAAGAAAATGGGACAAGTGGAGCATTTTCCTCCACAGTGATTTAGAAAGCACCTGCCTAGCTTCCAACACAAACAAAAGTATAAAAAATTTGCTGCGTGTTGTGTCCCTTTCAGAGTTCATTTTTACCCAGCATTCAGGTGGTTTCTAAAATCCGGCGGCTGCTGCTTCTCTTCTTCTTCCTCTTCTTGCTCGGCGTACTCTTCAGTAGATGCCGGCTCTGAGACCTTCTCCGCAGCAAATTCACTGAGCTTCTGGGCAAGAATCAGCCTCCGTGAGCGAGAGGCGTATTTGATAGCTAAGCTCGTGGCATTTTGTGTCATGAGTTCAGCAAGCTCCATGCAGCGAAATTCACGTTCCAGTGTGCAAGATAACTATTTTTAAAGCAAAGAGG